GCCAAGTTGCCCAGGCAGGTCTCGAACCCGCGGGCTCAGGCAATTCACTCACCTCGGCCTCCCAAGGCGCAGGATTACAGGCTGAGCCACCGAGCCCGGACCGAAAAACCTTTTTTAACCTAACTAATCTAAGATACTTCAGGACTCTCTTAACTGTTTAGCACTATGACAATTTAATTTGGAATAATAAATCACTATGAAGTAACTTACCAAAAAATATATTCCAAAAGCATCTAAATTAGAATTATCTTTGGTCCATAAAAAAAGACACCATTCATTTCATCATAGATAAATATTATTAAAATAGAAGTATTTAAAAACCCAAAGGCATTTTAGATGTCTGTTCTCATGTGATTTACAGGTGTGCAATCTTTTCTTTTGTATAGCATATTTAAAAAGTTAAAATGTGCCAGGCACTTTGGAAAATAAAAAGCTCAAAAGAATACAAATAACTGAGGGAGGTGAGTAGGTTTCTCCTTTAATTACTTTTAAATGTATTAGTTATAATAGGCTAAATTTCCATGGAAGTGAAAAAAACCTCACAAATGTCACAATTTGTGAGTTTAATCGATAATGCTTATAATACAGAAGACAAATGGCTCAAAAAGATGCAATGAAACATTTTAACAATTCTAAATATTTTCTACACAAGTTTCAAAGATAAGTAAATTCCAGAAAAGTAGTTTATTTCCAAAAATGGGAAATATGCCAATCATAAAAAGGAAAGGTTTGTTTTTTAACTATAGGAAGTATATATGGTAGTTTCATGCTTTTTCTTTGTTCTTAGGTTGAGATCTTTCTACCTAGGTATATTTTAGAAATATCAAGAATACATGTACAAACTCAAATACATACAATATTTTTAGAAACCAAATTTCAACGGAATGCCAGGATAAAGTTCAAGAAGCATTAGAAAGCTTCAGTGAGAAGCTACAAAATCCAGATCTTTCACATTATTTTTTAATTACTTACTTGGCCTTGCTTTCTATATACTGTTACCTTAGACAGATCGGCTCTAATATGGTGGTCATTGGCCACATGTGGCTACTGAGCATGTGAAATGTGGCCAGTCCCTTGATATGCTTTCATGCAAAATGTACACTAGGTTTTGAAGATTTAGCATAAAAAAGGATATAAAACATCTCACTAGTAATTTTATATTTATTTCATATTGAAATAATCTTTAGTATATATCAGATTAAATAAAATGCAATAAAAATAATTTCATCTTATTTTTACTTTAGAATAGCTACTAGAAAAATTTAAATTATAGATATGGCTTGCATTATATTTCTATTGGACAGCGCAACTTTAGAAACTCAGTGTAGAATAATTTTTCTTTTTTTTTTGAGTTGGAGTCTCACTCTGTCGCCCAGACTGGAGTGCAGTGGTCGCTCCCCACCACCGCAGCCTCAACCTGTTGGGCTCCGGCGATCCTTCCGCCTCAGCCTTCCAAGTAGCCGGAATTACAGGCATGCGCTACCACGCCCGGCTGATGTTTTGATTTATTGTAGAGATGAGGTCTCACTGCCCAGGTGGGTCTCGAACCCGCGGGCTCAGGCAATGCACTCACCTCAGCCTCCCAAAGGCACGGGATTACAGGCTGAGCCACCGAGCCCGGCTTAGAATAATTTTTCAAAGCAAAAATTAAAGGTCTGATTTTACTTAAGATAATTGTACATAGGTTAACATGTGTCTTTGGACAGTCTGCACAAACTCTGGACACATAAGTACAAACCATCTGCAGCTGCTGCTTGGGTGTCATGGACATCCGCCTGTACTTTGGAGGTCACGCTAATTCTTCGGGCTTTTCTCTCAATTGTGCAGGGGTCTGAGGGGTCTGCATTAAGAAGAAGCAAAGTCAGTAATCAAGTCATTCATTAGCAAGAGTGAACAGGCTCACAAGGATCTCTCATGCAACCCACACAGCTGAGTGCATTTACTCTTCCTATTACTTCATGTTACCTTTAGTGAAGGTAAGTGCCATATTTAATACTGCTTTTACAACCTATACAGAACAAACAGTGGCTCTTACAACTTTTTCCATCCTCTCCAATTATGTGGAACAAATGTCCTATTTCACCAGTTTCCTACTTTTTGGTAGATTAGGGGTACAAACTCAGAGATGGCAATCAAATGTTAATGTGAAAGCAAAATTTGGGAGATTATACTTTAGCAATTCTCTAGTTAAGCATTAATATTATTAAAAATTATGAGCTGAAAATACACTATCCATACAAGGCTCACTATTATAATAATAACAAAATGAAACTACAGGATCTTTTTTAATAAACAAGACTGCTGTACTTAAAAATCAGAATCAACTAGAAATAATACTATGTATTGACAAGCATGTGCTCCCAAATCATTTCATTAATTCCAATGACCTATGTATGCAGAAGCCCACTAGGCACTTTGCAACATAGATAAGAACTGCAGGCATCCCAACTTCCTGCTGGAATATGGTTTCTATAAACTTAAAGGTTATTAGTAAGCAACCCTTTGTATTAGTAGTGAAAATGGCAGACTTCATATTATTTGCCTTTAGGAACCAAAGAAAGATCTTGCATTTTCTAATCAGTTCTGAGTCCATATGCAGTCCTCTAGCACAACTCATCTTTGGAAATCATTGCTCCAGAATCCCAAGTGTGGTGCTTAGGCACTTAAACACTCCATTATCAGAATAAACAAAAGCAGAGTAAATTTCTCCTTAGGCGCCAAAGAATAAGTTCTGCTTCTTAGATTTGTAAAGTACTTTCATAGTACCACATACATCATCCCACTAACTCTTACAACCCTTTAAAATACACAAGTAAGTATTTGGCCAGATCACCCATCTGTGGTACACAGAATAAATTCGCATGTGGTTAGTCAGGTGACCAAAATGACCAGGACCAGCACTCCGGTCATGGGACACCAAGGTCAGTGCACTTACCACTGTGTGAGCTATCAACGAGGGGGTGGGGAGACTTTCTGAGTCACCTAAGAGATAGCACACATACCATACTGCTTAACTACAAAGTCCAATCCAAAAAGGTTTCTTTCTTCCTTTGTCTTTCCTTTGTTCTCTGTCTCTCTCTCTCTTTCTCTCTCTCAAATACATTCTTTCTCTAATTATCACACTTTTATTCAGATAAACTTCTATATTCCACTTGAATTTCTAGTGAGTATTTGTGATAACTCCAAGACATTTATTCGAATCAGTCTACCAGTTGCATTTTACTGATGTGTGTTTTCTTGGTTGTTAATTTCAGTGAGTGATATTGCAAGCGAATCTGAGCTAAACTACATGCACTTTTTAAAAAAAGCCAATTTAGTTTGAAAAATAAGAATCTGTTAGTGCTTAAAACAAATGTGACTTCATAAAGAAAACTGAATAGGTTTTATAAATCTGTGATGAAAAAAGGCTTACCAATTTTTTTTTTTTTTTTTTTAGTCAGGGTCTCAATCTGTTACCCAGACTGGAGTGCAGTGGCACGATCATGGTTCACTGCAGCCTCCACCTCCTGAGCTCAGATGATCCCTTCCTCGTCATTCTCCTGGGTAGCTAGGACTACAGGCACACACCACCACACCTAGCTAATTTTTAAATTTTTTTTGTAGAGACGAGGTCTTGCTATGTTGCCTAGGATGGTCTCAAACTCCTGGGCTCAAGCAGTCCTCCCATCTTGGCCTCTCAAAGTGCTGGAATTATAGGCGTGAGCCATCATGCCCAGCCAAAAAATTGTACAATTTAATCAAGTTCCATTGTTTATAAGTTTTAACAGAAAAAGGTAAAAAAGATTTAAAAACTATTTGCCATATAACAGTACCATTTTATACTTTCACCAAGAATATGCATTATCATATCATTAAAGTTACTAAATTTCTAAAATTAAAATTCATTTATAGTGAAGATGTTGTTTTAGATGGCTTTCTAGTCTACTTTTTAAAAAACCGTGTACATATAAACCGCCTGGGGTAGGAATCATGTCTTTCCTTTGTAGCATCAAGCATCTGACTACATAATCTACATATTAAGCATTTGATACATATTTTAAAAATTGATATTGACTAGAATCCCACTACGACTAACTCAGAGAGACTATCAGTTTTAGCAAATTTTGGTAAAATGAAATAAGCCATAGAAAAGAGTCTTTTTAGTGTAAAGGTACTTGTAGAAAGCTAGATGAAGTTTGATATTAAGGAGACTACATCATAGAATATTAATGCAGGCTTTGTACAATTTCTAGCCAAGACGGATACCAAAGAACCTCCCACCTCAAATACATGATGCTGGTTCCAAAGACAGCAGGCAGAATAACATATTCACAACACTAACATCATCACTGCAAGAAAACCACAATCTAACTATATAGGACCCTGGCAGCAGATCCATCATATTACCTCAGGAAAATTTTTAATTTATTTTTTTAATGGTCTTTCATATTTATATATTCCTTTGTGAAGTATTTGTTCTAATGGGTTCTTTGTCTTTTGTCTTTTGATTACGGTATTGTAGAAGTTCTTTATATATTCGAGATACCAGTTCTTCATCAGATACATTTTTTACAAATATTTGCTCCCAGTCTGTGGTTTGCCTTTTCATTTTCCTAACCATGTCACTTGATGAACAGAATTGTTGAATTCTGATAAAGGCTACTTTGGCAATTGTTTTTCTTTTTATTGCTACTTGTGTCCTGTCTAAAAATCTTTATCTACACCTAAGTTGCAAAGATATTCTGTTTTGTTCCAGAAGCTTTATAATTTAACTTTTATGCTTAGGTGTATGGCTATCTCAAATTGTTGTGTACAATGTGAGGTAGAGATCAAAATTTGTGTTTTTTTCCCACATGGATATCCTGTCCCTCCAGCCTCACTTATTGAAAATATTTCCTTTCTCCATAAGTTGCTTTTGTGCTTCTGTCAAAAATCAACTGACAACTGTGAGTGAGGGTCTGGGCTCTCTATTCTGTTCCAATGATCAATTTCTTTACCCCTATGCCAGTACACCACTGTGATTACTGTAGCTTTACAGTGAGTCCTGAAGTTGGTTAGTCTAAGACTTCTGACTTTGCTCCATTTCAAGATTCTTTGGAATGTTCTAGGTCTTTCTGCATTTCCACATGAATTTCAGAGTCAGTTTCTTAATTAAAAACAAAAAAACACCACACCTAATGGGGTTAAAATTGACACTGTATTGTACTTACATATCAATCTTGAAAGAATAGTTATCTCAACAATACTGATAATTCAATCATGCGCATGGTATATCACTCCAGTTACTTAGGACTTCTTTAATTTCTTTCTTTCTTTTTTTTTTTTTTTTTGTTTTGAGTTGGAGTCTTACTCTGTCACTCAGGCTGGAGGGTAGTGGCAAGCTCCTAGCTACTACAGCCTCAATCTGCTGGGCTCAGGCGATCCCCTTGCTTCAGTCTTCCAACTGGAAGTACAGGCACGTGCTTCAGCCTTCCTGGAACTACAGGCACATGCCACCACGCCTGGCTAATTTTTAAAAATTTATTGTAGAGATGAGGTCTCACCAGTTGCCCAGGATGGTCTCGAATCTGTGGGCTCAGGCAATCCTCTCACCTCAGCCTCCCAAAGTGCTGGGGTTTTAGGCGTGAGCCACCATGCTTCTTTAATTTCTTTTGACAATGTTTTGTAGCTTTCAGTGAATACCTCTCTGATTAAATTTACTCATAAGTGTTAATGGTTTTTGATGGTATTATAAATAAAATTATCTTTTGAATTTCATTTTCCAATTGTTACTGACATATACAAATGATTTTTGTATACTGACCTTGCATCCTGAGGCCTTGATTAGTTCTAATAGTTGTTTTTTAGTATCCTTAGGATTTTTTTCATAAATAATGTCATCTGTAGTATATATAGTTTTATTTCTTTCTTTCTAGTCTTTTTTCCCTTCCTAGTCTTTATGCATTTTTTTTCTTACTGCAGGGTCTATGACCTCTAGGTACAACATTGAATACAAGTGGTGAGAACAGATATCCCTACCTTGCTCCCAACCTTAGGGAATGCAAGAATTCACTATTTAAGTAATAATGATAGCTAAAGGTTTTTCAAACATGCCCTTTATGAGAATGAAAGAGTTCCCTTCTGTTCTTATTTTGTTAAAAGTTTTTTTTTTTTTTTTATCAAGAGTGGCTGTTGAATTTTGTCAAATGTATTTCCTACATTTGGTGAGATGATCATATGTTTTTTCTCCTTTACTTTGTTAATATTATGGTGAATTACATTAGTTAGCTTTTTAATGCTATAACAACATTGCATTCCTAAACTAAACTTTGTCATGATGTATTATCTATCTTTATGTATTGTGAATATTTTAAGGATCTTTTTGCTTTTATGTTCATGAGAAATATTGATCTGTAAGTATGTTTTCTTTTTATGGGGATGGATACATAGTGTCTTTATCAGGTTTTGGAATGAGGGTTCTGCTAGTTTCATAAAAAAGATGGGGTATAATAGCAAGAGTAAACTATCATGAAACTATGAACTTTGGGTGATTATGAGGTATTAACGTAGGTTCATCTGTTGTAACAAGTGTCTCACTCTGGTGTAGGATGCTGATAATAGGGAAGGCTGTGCATGTATGGGAGAAAGGGGCATTTTGCAAACTTCTCTATAACTTCTACCCAATTTTGCTGTGAACCTGAAACTGCTCTAAAAAATTAGTCTCTAGAAAAAAAAATCACTATTGCAAATAAATAAATAAAAATGGGAAGAGTTCTTTCCTCTATATTCTGAAAGAGTGTGTCTAAGACTGGTATTTTTCCTTTCTTAAATATTTGGTAGAATTCACCCACCAGTGAATTTATCTGGAGATGGTCTTTACTCTGAGGGAAAAAATTTTGATAATAATTCAATTTATTTAATAGATATATTATTAACATTTAACTATTTCATCTTATTTTCAGTTTTGGTGGGCTATATATTTTAAGAAATGTGTCCATTTTATCTAAGGTATCAAGCTTAGTGGCATAAAGATGTTTGTCACACTCTCTTACCATTAACATTTTAATGGATAACCCATCTTTCACTTTTGATTATGGTAATTTGAGTACTTTCTCTTTTTTCTAGATCAGTCTCGAAATTTATTGATTTTGTTTATCTTTTCAAAAATCAAACTTTTGGCTTTAGTGACTTTTTCTGTTATTTCTGTTTTCTCTCTCAGTGACTTCTCTTATTTTTCCTTTCTTCTACTTACTTTGTTTTTACTTTGTTCGTTTCTCACCTCTTTAGGTGAAATTTTAGGTCACTGATTTTTAGATCTTCCTGTGTTATATCAACATTTAAAGGTATACATTTCCATTTAACCACTGCAGAGAAAATGATCTTGCCTTGCCCAAAGAGAGGTCTGGTTTTGTCTCTGGCTCCCGGGAGATAACTTCCAAAACTTTGAAATTTCCTGAGTAATAGCAGTGCCTAGTTATTTATGGTAGGCCCCTCAGACTACACCTGAGAGTTTATGCTAATAAGATGGCTCATGGTAGAAATATTGTCCACCATTTCTCACTTCATCCTCTGTTCCCAGGGTAACATTTTCAATGTACTCCCCTAAATAGGGCAATTCCTCCATGACAGTTCATCTGTTGGATTACCAGTAGGCAACACTTCTTTAGCTGACATTCAGGCAAAATCGAGTTAAAAGATTTGGATTTTAGGAACCTAAAAGTCTAAAGGGATCAATGATAAATATATAACCCAGTGACTTTCAGCATGAAACTGCATATTATGTTGCCACAGTACCAAATTTGGCACTTGGTGTCATCTACTAAGATTATTCTTTGTACCATTTTTAGAAATCAATAGGCTATTTTAAATGTAAATAAGATGAAATATCCATGATGGTATTAAACAATAAAAAGAATGAATACTGTGCTGTAACCCATAAATGCAAAAAATACTCTATACTGAGTTTAACATACATGGAAAATTGTTCAACCAAATTTAAGTAATTAATTTAAATTTAATTTAAAAGTAAATGCCAGGTAACATTATTTAGATGGAATTTATACATTGTGTAATTAAAAATAAGTCTGATAAGATTTTAAAATATAATACCTTCAGGTAATTTTAAAAAATAAGGTATTCTCCGCTATTCTATATGTCTTCATGATCAATCTACCTTGAGTTGCTTAAAGCAAAAAGGATTAAATATTAAATGCATACTTTAGTTCAGTCTTGAGAATTATAAAACATAGACTGTTAATGAGAATGGGCAGAAAAAGCTAATCTATATTCAGAGACTCAACATTTAAATGTAATTAAAATTAAATTTTTAAGATACTGAAATGCCATTTAAACATCTGGTACATAAAAACAGGGAGAACAGATTTGATACCTTTAATACTAAATCATTTCCATGTAACAATTATCCAAAATTGAATCCTCCAAACCTTGGTTAAATAAGATTTATTTCATCCTAGATGAGAAAATACCCAGTTCGCCCTCATATAATTGTTATGCTTAACTTTTTCTTTTGAGTCAGGGTCTCACTCTGTCTACCCAGGCTGGAATGCAGAGTACACAATCATCGCTCACGGCAGCCTTGACCTCCTGGACTCAGGTGATCCTTCTGCCTCAGCTTCTTGATTAGCTGGGACTACAGGTGTGCCACCATGCCTGGATTTTTTTTTTAAGAAACAAGTTTTTGCTATGTTGCCTAGGCTGGTCTCGAACTCTTGGGCTCAAGCAATCCTACTGCCTTGGTCTCCCAAAGTGCTGGGACTACAGACTTGAGCCACTGTGCACGGGTTCAACTTTTGAATAAGCAAGGATTCTTTTGTTGCCCGATAATAATCTTAGATCCACTGCAAACCTAACTTTCTACTCTAACATTAGATCTTTAAAATTCTCATTATTATAAGAATTATCTTTTAGGGTTATAGTTTTTACAATGCTAAGTACATTTATAATGTTAATATATAATACAGTGTTTCTACTTCTTTTGTAAAAAATAAGTTTTATATCCCATTTAATTACCTCTGACAATAATCCTAAATTATGAATTTCAGTACTTTGTAAAAGTTAAAATTTGAAGACATGATTACCACACTAATATCAATATAGTAACTTTGTTTATGCTGAACAATAAATATCTCTAATGGAAATTTCTTCAGAAATATATGTAAACTTCCAAATAATTTTGATATTTATTTCTATCATGTTTGTGACATTTCCCTACTCACCTTTTTTAGATGGCTTAGGTGGTACAACTGGGCCAGGTTCTATGTTGTCATAAAAATTATTCATGGCTTTTGGATCAAAGTTTCCTATAAAGAAAATAAAATCACCAGGCATTTAGAACTTTTTCTTCTGTTATTGATTTGTTTTTTAAGAGATTATGTAAATAAAACATGTAAGAATGGAAAATGTTGTCTAGGGTTTTAAAATCATCAAATGCTCCTACTCTCCTCCCACTGAAATTGTGTTTTATCACTTTGAGAAAAGACTCAAGAAAACTACTACACCAATGAATGTCTAAAATGTATTACCTAAAGGAATATTCATCTAACTGTAAGGCTAATCTTCATAGGCAGGACTAAGTATGTGGAGTATTTGGGGAGGTAAATGAAGAAGAGAAATGAAAAGGTGGCTGAACTGTTTTCTCTTTCTGCTTGTTTTAATTTTAATGAATAAACTATGAGAAAGTAGACTTAAATAGTGAAAGCTTGCTTTCATGTCTTTCATAATTTACCTTAAAATTTTATCCATTATACATTCAGCTATAGAAAATCTATAAAGATTACTCAAGCTATATTTTGATACAGCTAAGGAACCTTAATAAATGTAAAATAACATCAGCAGTTCATGGATTCCTATTTTCAGGAAAAGGAGACTCTTAAACACCAAGTGTTGCCTAACAGATTTATCAATTATAAAAGATGATATGGTGCTAATTTCAGAATAGACAGAACAATCCCTAAGAATTTTGTCTTGCCACAAAATTTTCACCTCTCTTAATATGTTTACTCTTTAATCTAGTGTTCATATTTTAGCCACATCTCCTGCTGTGACTCCTCCGCGGTCAGTCTTGATCCAGTGCCAGTTTTGGGTCCCACCTTCACTTCTGTAAACCTATCACTGTGCTCTGCTTGTTCTAAATAATTCCAGTTAAGCTTTATAACTGTACTCATACTTATTTATAAAAGATGCTGATAGTATAAATATACTGAACCTCTTGATTTCCAGACCTACTTTTTTCCCCAACAAGTTTTCCTTACCAAAACCAACAATAAAGCTGCTTTTCATCAAATTATAAACTGACTTATATCTAGTCTAAATGCTCCCCCTCAAAAAAAGGTTTTAATTCCTTCTCTAGCTTAAAGTTTAGATTGGAAACTCAGTAGAAAAAGTTTTCTAGAGTGTGGAAGAGTAAAATTTAGTATAAAATACATACATCTGGACTCCTATGAAAAGAGATTTAGCAAAGCCTAAGTATCAATAAGAGCTCATTGTAAGGTCACTGCCCAGTGCAGACCAAAAACAGCTCTGCTTATAAAACCTTAATAATGGTTTCCTTTGCAGGCTCTATTACAAGTGTCTCATCCATTTGAATATGCTGTTTTATTTTAAGACAATTTCTGAAAACAATTGCTATGATAGCTCATAAAAGTCACAATGCTATTTCATATATTAGATCTTTTTATGCTTTAAGAAGCTGCATACGTATTTCTCCGATTACTTAAGTTACAACTGATGTTCTAATTTCTAGATCACAAAAGGCTTACTATAAATATCCTAACCAAATGTTTGAGTTAGTGCTTCTTGTTTTGCTTCAAAGACTACACAAGTAAAAACATGATGCAATCTTCTAAAAGATAGTAGCAATAGTTTGCATAGCCCCATATTATGCATAGTAATTCTTTCTTTGCTTGAAGCTAGTGGGTTATCGAGTGACTAGGCTTCTGAAAATAATTTTAAGTTTACCTGACTAGATTACTCAATGTTCATTCAAATTTGCTTCATCTCTGATGTTCAGATAATGCCATTTCTTTTGGGTTCACCTGCCTCTACTGTTTAATCATGCCTAAAAATGGCAATGGGATACTTTATTATATACTCTTAAAACACTGTAGAAGCTCTCTTAGCTGTCATAATTAAGAAAGCGTGGGGGACAAGGGAGCAGGAAAGCTAATTAAAACACAGAATTGTTAAGAAAAATTACATGTTAACTTTAACGTAACAAAACATTTGAATATAGCAATATTTTAAAGGTAGACAGAGGCCTTTTCTTTAGGTGCCTGTTGACTGGAGTTCCATATTGTCTTTCTTACATAAAGCACACCCACGGTGACCTAAAGCAGGGGTTGGCAAACTTTTCTGTCAAGGGCCAGATAATAAATATTTTAGACTTTGTGGACCAGCGATACAGTCTCTGTTGCAAGTACTCAGCTGTAGCTGAAAGCACAAAAGCAGACATAGACAATATGTAAACAAATGGATGTGAGTATCATTTCGTTTCATTAAAATTTTATTTACAAAAACAGGCGCAGGTCCTAGTCTGCTGAACCCTGATTTTTAATTTTCTGTTTTGATTTTCTTAGAATAAAGTAAGAAAGCTACTAAGAACACTTACAATGCAATTTGAGTATAGAATACTTTTAGACTTTTATGATTCTCTCCCTTAACTTTTTTCAGTTGTGTTCAGGTGAAAACATACCTAATTCACAGTCCCTGTCTTTTTAGTAATTTGCCTTTGAGCCTTAAAAAAAAAAAAAAGCCTTTGGTTTTCATAGAAAGAGCAGCTTTCTCCTTCAGAAATAAAGTAACTGTCATAAACAGGTTTGGGGGCACATTGACTCTTGGTAAGCAGACAATTCAACCAATGGAAGCAAGTTCACAGGCATACCAGAATGCAGCCTACTAGTCAAAAGTGTGCAGCAGCTGTGGACATCAATCAGTATAATTTCCACAGGAAAAAGAGACTATCTCTAAGTTCATGAGTTGGGTAAATGAAAGACACTTAAGAGAACGTCTACTGTAGTATATGTCTACAAAAATATCCAAAAAACCAAAACTATGATTATAGTTGAACATTTTCATATAACAAAAAAGTAGCATATAGAATTTATTTTAAAACTGAGGAATCTGACATTCAGATTTGGGCTCCCTATTGTTTTTTTACAGATATCTTAGATGAATATTACATAATATAAACTCTACTAAGTTTTGGAATTAAAACCCGTCAATTTATATTAGCAGTAAATGACAAAAAAAGGATATATGCAAAGTAAAAACACAGAACAGTCTAAATGATAAGAACTTGAAGAAACTGCCACAGTAAAACTATTGTTTGATCCCCCAAATCTGATCTATGACCATGGGGCAGGGGGATCTCTTGAGCAGAAGTATAATCCTACAATGGATAAAAACTCTCTTAAATCTATAAAACCAAAATTATTGCTATTTAAGCAGCTTAAAATACCAAACTATTACTTATGGTTTACCAAATAATCAAGTCTATACCTCTAGATTGAAGGAGGTCAACTTCTTTCAGTGTACAGTCAACATTTATCTGGAGTTGTCTGTTCATGCTTCTCAATCTTGTCATTTCCTCAGGCTAGTAAGAAAGGACCCAAAATAGCAATTGTGGGAAAGTCATTATCAAGCCCAACATTTAAGAACTGCGTTTCATGTTAATCGTTCTGATTGGGTATTACCAAGAATACAGACTTCGTCCATAAGAGGGCATGTTTAAGAAGTCTTATGTGTATGTTTTTAAAGGAATAGTCAGGTAAAATGGGGACATCAAAATTGCCACATATGATCAAAATCTGCATATAAAGTGGCAGGCTACAATAGTGGACTGTGTTCTATCATACAAGATACTACAATTTTAGTCACAGAGCACTGAGAATATATTACATCTATGTTTTTGTGGTAAGGAAACTGTAAGAATCTACCTCTTAAACAAGCAATGTCCATGATCTTAGTCTTATCCAGTCTGGTAAAAATTATAACAGTACTAATTTTAATTAGTGTATACTAAGTGTCAGGCACTGTGTTTACCAGAATTCTCTCATTTCTTCCTTTAAACAACCCTTTAAGATAGGTACTAATATCATGTTCAATTTACAGATGAGGAAACTGAGGCATAGAGAGGCTATATAATTTTCCCAAAGTTACAGAGCTAGTAAATGGTAGTGCCAAGATTTATATAAAAGATGTCTACATAAATTCACATAGAAATCTTTTTGTCTTCTTTTTTCTAGATTTAAGGACACAATTAATCTTGTACATGAAGATTTCGGGAGCAAATGGACTCCTTTCTTTCTCCAATTGTTTTCTTCTGCCTCAACCTTTCCAGCCCAGCCCACTCCTTAGGCCCTTCAGGGCACATATGAGGTGATGAAATGTGAAGCGAGTTCTAATCTTCAGTTAAATAAAGCTTTTTGGAAACCTTCCCTTTCCATGTCATTCTTTATTTCCTTACATGTATGTACAGTAAAAAACAAACAAACAAACAAAACAAAGTCAGGATTTAGAATCTAGAGGCGCCTCAATTACTAGGGCGATTTTAACTAAATAAAATGAAAAGTGAAATACCTACTACTATAGGAAGGCAGAACAAAATCCTATTCTGTTAAACATTTTGCTAAAAGCTAAATACGTTAATATAACAGTGAAGAAAAATAAGTGGAAAGGGTATCTTAATTCACAAAAATGTAAGCTCTTATGCTGTTAAGAGGTTTTATCAGAATAACTGAGAATGCCCATTAAATAAGTAGGTATCAAAAGTTTAAATTAAGTGACATACAGGTAGAATACAGTAAGAACAACAATTCCTTAGAATGCTAGAGGAACAAAAAAAAGTCATTTAGAAATATGTATTAGGAATTGTCTTTCTTTTCTAATTCCTATGGGCAAAAACTATGTGTAATTAATGTGTAAAATGCTTACACCTTGCCTACCATGCAATATTAAAATCACTTAAAAACATATGTATGCATTTACATGAAAGATAATGCACTTAGTTGTGGTTTCCAAAGAGAAATGCCATCTTCCTAGGAACATGTGAAGGAACCCACTCTTGCTTTGTAGGATCATATTAGGAAAGTTAAGTGCCTGGAGAGGTTGATCCTTCCTATGTACTTTGGGGCTTGGGTGGGAGAAGAGAGATGTATCAGCCACAGTGGCCCCAAATAGTGAAGCTTTAAATATGGAGATATTATCATATACTTTATAGTCAGAGAACACTGTACATTTGCTTATAACAAAAACAAAAACATTCTCATCAACAGGCTCATTTCCAAAGACAGTAGAACCACTTTTAACTCACTAAACTATGGGTTCATCAGTAAGATTCCATGTCCTTTTTCAAAGCTTCTGATTAAACTGAGAGGGAAAAGGTGTTTCTGAAAAGTTACTGCCATTTGTCAAAATACACTGTTTTCGTAGCAGAGGAAGATTGGCTATGTATAATTTAGAGATGTTGGTAAGATAACAGGATGTTTGTATCTAATATTTCAAAAATGCAAAATTCTAAACTTTTTACAAAAGGTAGCAGAAATACCTTAAGTCAACTGTTCTGGCACTTGAAAAAGTCTCATAGAGACCAACATTGAAGACCACTAATGTTCTTTGGAGGTTTGGTCCCAATTAAGCAACTAGGACTCAAAGCTGCAGGGTAGTTCAGAAACCCAATTAAAATCAGAAGAATGGGGAAGGACAACTGGGGGGGGGGGCAATTGGCAGTTCTCTGTGTATTAAAATCTTATCCTTCAAGGGAAAGCTTAAATTTCCCTCTCCTTCATGAAACTGTCTCATCTTTGAATGGTATAGGCAAAAAGTTAACTTTTCTACTTCAGAACTCTGAAAGTTCTTAATATTGTTTCCACTTAGCTGGGTCAACATTTCTGATTTACTGTCTTATGTTCTCTTTCTCTCTCATGCACAAATTCATATAGATTCATAGTTAGATATACATATCTCTTTTCATGTACAGATCACTTTAAGAGATAGCATCTTCACAGCATTACAATGCTTTGCAGGTAACAGATTGGAGGACACCATCATGCATCTTTTTTATATGTACATATTATAATATACAAATACACACGCATTTATATATTTAAAATAAAGCTTGAACCACAAGAATAAAGTCAATAATTTATACTAAACAAATTAAGGGTAATTTTTATAATCCTTAACATTTTCATAAATGAAACAATGATTATCGTCCCTCAAAATCCATTGGGGATTGGTTTCAGGAACCCACAAATATCAAATCCATGGATGCTCAATCATGCATCCTGCACTTCCGCTCTTACAAAAAATATTTTACTGCTACTCTTTCTGCAACCACACATATATCTAGTCACAAACATGCATTCTAGTCTCATTAGGCAAGCACCTTTTTATCCAATATTTTATACACTGCTTGATAAGAAATTAATTTGTTTGAAAACTTATAGCAATATGTACTTGGTAGCAAAAAAGGTCAATTCTCTACTGGGTATTCCTATACACAAGTGGGACAATGATAAGGGATAGCCATCTACTGAGCACCTGCACTATGCGAGACATATTACACACATTGTCTCTTTATCTTGACAGCAATATTATAATGTACTTGCTATAATTCCCTTTTATAGATAGGGCAAATCAAATGCAGAGAAGTTAGATATAGCCAGTGAGTGCCAGAGTCATTCTGGCTCCCAAGCCTATATGAGCGCACATTCCACTATGTCACGTTTCTGTGAATGTGCCTCAATGAGCAAAAAGGGAATTCTAACCAAATAACTTATTTCTTGACTTATTTCCTACAGTCCAAAGGAAATCAAGTTTTACAAAATGCTTCAGACTTTTGTGTGTCTATATCTCAAGCACATTTTTCCAGTAGTTTGTAACCAATGCTTATTTCATAAGAACACACTATTTGTTGGACATTGTATAAATTGCTTTACATATATTATCTAATCCTAATAAAAATCACATACTTGTCATAGGAAAGAAAACAAGCATAGAGAAAGTTACTTATCCAAGAATACATGAGTGACACAAGTAGAAGTAGGATTCAAATTGGCACCTGCCTTGAAAGCCCACTCATGGTCTCAACCACCATGTACAACTGTCTCCCTGCTGTGTACTTACAATTGTCCCCTACTTCACTCTAGGTCTGGCAGCAGAAACACATGGGAATCACACTCAAATATCTTGTTTCTCAAATATTATCGTCCACGTGAACTATCAATTTCTGAAGCTGGAGGATGACTACATGGTGGTTCATGATACTATTTTGCCCATTTTATATAACTTGAAATTCCCTATAATTAAAAGTTAAAAATAAATTACAGCTCAAGGTAGCAGTTTTGCCAACTTCTTTTTCCTTTCTAAAGAAGTCTCAGCAATAAAAGCTCTGATCTAAAATCTGGGGCTTTTTTTTTTTTAAGCACTAATCTATGCTATATTAGACAGTTCTCTACTTCCAATTTAAAAAAATCCGTAGGGTTTTATTTACCAGGGATTATAACAAGCAAGTAGTCCTACGATAAAACTTATATGGTTATTTGAAAGAAAATGACTACTAAGTTAAGAAAAAAATGTTTATGTTCTACAGGTACTTAATGGACTCCAAAGGTCCCAACCACCATAGGTGAATTTCCTTAGGATTACATCCTTCAATATCTTCCCCAATCAGAGGATTCAATTAAAATTTTAAATGGAGGGCTGGGTATGGTGGCTCATGGCTGTATTCCTAGCACTTGGGGAGGCCGAGGCGAGAGGACTGCTTGAGCCCAGAAGTTTGAAACCAGCCTAGGCAATATAGCAAGGCCTTATCTCTACAAAAATAAAAAATAAAAAAAATTAGCCAGGCATGGTAGTATGTGCCTATAATCCCAGTTACTTGGAAGGTTGAGGTGGGAGGATTGCCTGAGTGCAGGAGGTCAAGGCTGCAGTTAACTGTGATCATGCCACTGCACTCGAGCCTGGGCAACTGAGTGAGATCCCAACTCAAAAAAAAAAAAGATTTTAAACGGAGAAAATGAGGCAAAAGTTTGATTTATATTAATATTACCCTTCAGTTCAAGATAGCTTTGTAATTTTCAAACGCTTTAAGTAATAAAATTCTTCCTTCTCACTTTTAATATTGACTAAACTGAATAATTCAGACAGTATTAGAAAAAAATTCACTAAATTACTGAATGTGTCTATTTCGCAAGATTCTCTTTCTCAAAAACTTCCACTGGTTTCCTGTTAACAGCAGTATAAAGTTCAAATACCTTGACCTAGTGTTCAAGGTCTAAGCCCCACTCTACATATGCACATTAACCTCTGTTAACTCATCAGAAATCTCATGCTTACATGAGGAAATTGTATTCACTGTCTCCTAAAAGTATCTGTTGACTTAAAGCCTTCATCACCTCATGTTCTCTTCCCTTCTAAAATGCTTTCCCCTTTCCTCTCTGCCTATTGTTTATAAGCAGTGATTCTTCACCCTTTTTTACTTCTATCTAGTAACCTTATGAAAATCAGATGAAAGCTATAGAGCCGCTTCTCATATAAACACACATATGATACTCTGCATATAATCTCAGGGAATTCATAGATCCCCTTTGAAATCAGGAACTTCATGTTAAAACGTCTCTATGAGGGAGTAGTTACAGACATGCTGACTGTAAGAAGCCTGACATATGCTCACTTCTCTAAACCTGTAAACTGAGAGAGAGAGAGAGAGAGAGAGAGAGAGAGAGAGAGAGAGAGAGAGAGAGAGAGAGAGAGAGAGAAAGAGATTACCCTGAGCTTAGAGAGGGTAGAAAAATGAGGAAAGGCTCCATAAAAAAAATGTAGGAGTTACGTTGAGCCTTAAAGAATAGGATTTATACATGCAGAGCTTTTAGAAGGGCATTCCAGCAGGAGGACAGTGTAAAAGAGCAGAGAAGTGCACGGAGTCTGTACAGAAACTAGCTGATGTCTTGCGTTCTCTCATTACCTGTTAGCATATACAGCACTTACCACACTGTATTATAATCATCTCTTGGTGTACCTATTTTTCCCCCTGACAAGTATTCAAGCAAGCACTTAGCATGGTACCACATTGATAAACCTTATGCAAAAAATGCTTCTTAAATAAATGTTGAAAGGTGAAATAACAGATCGGATCATGAAAAGCTTGTGAAATCATAAGATTTTAGGAGACATGTTTCAAAATGTTCAGAGTTGTTTCAGATCAATAAAACTCATATACATTAACCAACATGTTAAAAATATAGCATTCAAATCTTTTCATTAGAGCAGTTCCCTTTAGGACTGCTATTGGTCAATACTGTTATCTCAGTTTCTACAATTACTTACACTTAACAAAACTGCTTTGCCTTAAAATATTCTACAGCCAACATTTCCCACAAATTCATATTGATCTCATTTTAATTCATTTGAATTAATGTACTTAGAAAAAATTTTAAATGTTTAAAAATATGTATCATATGCTTAAAAGGATAATTTATCCATTGTTTTACCAAGGTGCACCTTTCATTTCTATTTTGACAAAGAGCAATTTATAATAAACGAAATGCTATATCTTGATTATAATTGTCAGTGTTTGAAAACACTGATGAGCCTATGGAATTTCCACATATGAAGAAATAAAGTATCGAATTATTTTGACGAGAACTATTGAAGGCAAAAGTCCATCATCCATTGTCTTAAAACAAATCAAAATCCCAAAACTCTGCCAAGAACAGGACCTAAAAGAAAAACAAATGGCCTTGGATAGTCAATGTCCCCCACCTTCCTATCAACACACCCTGACAGATCACTTACCGTCGGGATTGCAGTGGTGCAGCTGACTCTTCTGAGCCGTCTCTGCATCAGGTCATGCTCCATACCGTTAACTTCAGCCTTCAACCGCTCTAGCTCCTCTTTCTCAAGTTTCAACTGCTTTGCTAACCTCTCCATCCTTGCTCGCTGATGTAACAGCAAGGCTACAGCATTACAGATAAAGTCAGTGCAGAGAATAACATTGAACAAGTGACTGGAAATTTTTTATATGCATTGCCAATGTACAAAAGACTCATCCCTATTAGCATTTATTCTCATGTCTTTCTGATGCTATTCTGCTTCCATATCTGCTTTAATTTAGCTTTTTTAACTGCTACCAAAGTGACATCACTGGTATATCCCTCTTGTTCTGTTACTCTTAGTTCCCCTAAGGACATCCCTTAGTTTCCCCAAAATTATGTTTGTGTGGGTTTTAAACAGGCTCAGTACTGGGCATACTGAATTACAATTATAATTACTTCCCTTCTTTTATATTGAAAGAATAATAACTTCTTGGGTACCTTGAAACAACCTGAATACACTTTTAAAAACTCTATTCCCCTGTATGTTTAAATTAGGGCTACCATTAGCTAATCTAACCACATTCTTCATTGCTAATTTCACTTCTTATATATTACTTATAAATGCCATTATGCCCTTTGGGCCATCCTTTTTAGAAAAGATCCAAATTCTTTCATTTGATGTACTTTAGTCCATCCTCTACAATACCTTTTCCTACATTGTAGTTTGTTATTTTTGACAATATCCATTTCACTTGTATTTTTCTCCCAACGAATATTCTTTCGAAAATAAGTCATCTTAGGCCACTATTACCATGACTACACTTTCATATTTTAAAAGTAAGTCTGTAGATGATTCTGAGGCACTAAATCTATTCCTAATAGCAATGCTACTGCCCAACATTTAATTAATTCATACTAAACATTTAACTTAAATTAGCTAACATATTTGAACAGGAGATTGCCACCTTACCACAAAAATTAAATTTCATAAAAGGGTTAAAATTTACCTTGTGTATAGGCATAGTCATCTGATCCAGAACTAGAACTTCTCTGGTATTTATGGCTTCCCTTTTCTCCGCCAGAGCCTGGTATCACTGAAATGGGCTGAATAGGTTCTGGAGCTGCAGAGCGTTCTTCTTGGTCCACTAAATTTAAAAGATTTTCAGTCGTTGCTCGGCCTACGGTAATTTTAAAAACTGTAGTTGGGTTTGGTACCACCCGAGGTGATGGTGATGGAGCACACGAAGGTCCAGTTGGCTGTGTATATGTAATATACACAGGATTAACACTAAATGGAGGTTTTGGTTGACTAGATATCCCTCTTGAAGGGGAACTTGAAGGTGGCGTGGTGGCTGTGTATAGTGAGTGCTGATTCCGTGGAGACGGTTGATTACTAATGGGTGAAGGACTCCTATTAATTGTTGTCCCAGGTCTTTGAGAAGGTTCAACTGTAATTTCTATCTTCTTCATGGAACCTTTGGATAAGCTAGATGGCGAGTATGGGAGATAGGCTACTGAATGGCTTCCCTGTTTCTGATAGCTAGGAGGTCCTTGTTGATATGGTGGAGTAGTTGAAGGACTAGGTGGCATAAAGACGTGGCCCAACTGGGAAGGTTGCACTTGATGTTGTGGAGAGCTGAAGGGTGAAGGACACTGAGAAGGAGGTGGTGAATGGTAAGCAGATTGAGGAATCTGCTGTTGTTTGGGAGAATACTGAGAAGGTTGATAGTTCTGTTGGTGTGGATAAACAGGTAAAGGACGTTGGCTATAATGAGGCACGGGGCCCTGTGGTGAGGACTGCCATGGTGTACTTTGAGGAGTTTGTCTCCCTGATGAACTCTGAGATGTCTGTCTAATATAAATAGAACCAGGAGACCCATAGAGATTGCTTGGAATTTGTGGAAGAATTTGTAAAGCTCTTGGTACAGTCGGTCCAGAAGGGAGGTTCTGGGATACTGTAACAGTAATTGGGTTGGTACTATACCGAGGTATGTGCATGTATGAAGGAGGTGGCGGCGGCGGTGGTGAAGGCCCTTGTATAGCAGATGGATTCATTCCTGTTTGCATGGAAGATGGCTGTTGAGGTGGCTGTGAAGGAGGAGTAGCTGCACTTCTGTTCTGTTCATTCATAAAAAATGGATTGTAGTTGGGAGTAGCAGCCACAACAGCTGGAGCTGAGTGTGGTTCTTGAACTAAACATATCAGCTGTTTACCTGCTGCATGCTGTGGATCAATATGTCCATCACTTGAGCTATGTACCAGTGTTCGACCACCATTAAGTTGAGCTCCATCTCCCGGATGATAGGTACTAGGAGAATGGATACCAAGGTTAATATGCAAAAGGCGATTTCTATTCATTCTATTGTCATCTGGACTATGGTATTCCATATATAAGTATTTGCTACTCTCCTGGGAAAGAGCTCGGCAACAGGCTTCAAGATTGTTGTTATTCTAGGAGAGAAAAAAATGATAAAAGTAACATTGACAAGATTAACAGATCCTAATAGAAGTCAAGCTTTGCCAGAGGGTTATGGAAATACTACTGTTACAAAATAGAGGTTGGTATTTTAATCACAAAAAGTTTCATGGTCATCTATCCTGAAAAGGAGATCTCAAGCGATTCATACTATTTTACGAACATCTAGCTCACATTACTAGTACTACCACTACTGCTAGTGCTACAGAAATGTAAAGTACCTACTAATGAACACTGTGACTCAACCCCAAGTTTTCTGACTCCAAATCCAGGACTCATTTTATACTTGTGGCATCTCAATAAATTAAAATGTTGGACTAATCTTGAATTCACCACAATTGCTGCAATATATAAGTAATATCCATCATTAATACTTAAACTAATAAACATGAAAGTATCCAAGCTTTAGTTTTCAAAAGGAACTGAAACCATAAAAGGAGAAAAATAATTACAATAAAATTCCTAAAGAGTTAAAACAATAAAAATTCTAAAGCAGCTTTCGCTTTTCTTTTACCCAAATTTATCCCAATATAACTTCAACTGTATTATTATGAAAGATTTGTGCAAAACAAAGAAATCAGTAAAAGAAAAAAAAGCCACCTATATTTTGAACTATGGCTCCATGATTTTGCCAGAGTTATGGTAATTTAATTAAAAACCTGATCTTGACTGTCTTAATGAAATTCATTAATACACCTAGTCTCAAAATTTTTTACCTACTGTAAGGTGGCTTGGTATACTGTCAAAGCCATTGAAGGATTTGAACTTTTTGAGTTACACATACTCACAAAGATAGTAAAAGCAAACTGACACTTTAGAAGTTCCAATCAATAGCAATCAAACGAATAAAATGTTCCCTCTTTTTAAAATGTTAAGCTATTATAAAAATTTTCTATTAAACTACAGAATTCTATTTTATTAGTGTAAAACACATATTATTCACTGCCTTTGAAACCATCCATAAAAGTTTCTCAATTATTGTGACTTTCTCTGTGGCTCATAAATATACATATAGATATGCAGATACACATATATTTATTCAATACATGTATTTCAGGAAAAGTACATTTTATATAAAAATGAAATACTTTCCTTCTGCTGAGAACCAAATAAGGTTAAACGTAAAACAGGACATACAATGTAATTTTAGAGCTGAGAGAACTCTTATTAGAGTTAATCTACTCCAACTCACATTTACAGGTAGGGAAAGAGATGCCTGGGAAGTTACATGACTTGACAACAGGCACTTAACTAGCTAACCAGAGAGCCAGTTTTAGGTTCTTGGTCTCCTGGAGTCCTAGTGCTCTTTCCACATAATAATTTCAAGGGAGAGGATGTTTGGCCAAAAGGACATTATTAAACTAGAGCTTAAGAAGTAAAAAAAAAAAAAAAAAAATTAGTCAAGCAAACCTTTGCAAAATGAATTCTCAGATATTTAGAGTTGGCGTTATCAAAACTCCATAGATAATTTTTATCCTTTTCCTTATATATTTGACACTCAAATACGTTTAAAAACATTCACTGAGTCATATAAAGAAGCATTAGTTGAAGTTTAAAAAGAAAATAATTAGAACTCAAATATTTGAATTTTTCCTATCTTGCTTGAAAATCATGCTGAGCAAAGGAGATAAACTAGATATTATAAGCAAATTTGGAACCAAAGTATTCAGACTGATTACCAACTAGAGCGTGTCACTGACAGATATCTAAGGAAAAAACTATAAAGGTAAAAATAAATTATCTCCTTCAAGTTTCTTTTTTTACAAAATAAACTATGGGTTAGGGGAGATAAAACTATAAAGTTTTATTTGAAACCTAAAATAACCATGGACACTTTATACCATTTGATATTTTTATTAATAATCCTGAAATTTCATGTTCTCTACATTGAATACATAGAATTAGGTAGCCTATTTAGTTCTGTCACAAAAAGGATCCAAATTCAAAATGATATAAAGTTGGATATGTTGGCATGTCTACAGTAACAAGTCAATTAAATTTTCCTATGAAGAAAAATGTAAAACTGCAAATACAAGATAGTAAAGTATTATCTTTATGGAAGTATTATAAAAAGAATACTACTAGAATAGATTCAAATGTCATATTTGACCTGCTAATGTCTTTAAAAAGAAAAAAATGCACCTCATCCACAAGGGTACCTGCACAATACATATTTGTATACCTAACCCTTAACATATTTTTAAACATATTTTTTATTTTAAAATTGTGGGGTAACAATTTTAAAATAAAAAATATGTTTAAAATAAATAAAATAAATAAATAAATAAAAGAAAAAAGAAGAAAAATGGCTAAAAAATTATCAAACAATAAATACACAGAATAAAGAAATCAAAATTATTTAGTTGGATAATGAGGTAAGAACTTTTAAGAAGATATATAATGAACACTCTTGAAAGGACTGATGCAAAAAAGTATCACACTCTTAAAAACGGATACTAAATTGAGGATGATAGCTCAGAGAGAAACTTTAAGGCTTGTGCATTAAATGCAAACTACTGAGTCTCAGATAGTTTAATGTGAACAAAGAAACTTCTCAGAGCCAGTAGGTGGCAAGCCTTCATACCAATATACTCTACTAATCCCAAAGGAAGGAAAAAGTGAAAAACTTAGGACATTGTAAAGTATCAACAAATGTTCACTGAGCTGAGTTTAAAGTTCTATTCCTTCAGTTTAGTAAGTAGTCATGAAAAACACGGGTAATAAAGGGCTAAATGAAATAAAACAAGGTCAGAGCTAGGTGGGACTAGGAATAGGTGAGGAAGGTGATTGCTAGGAAGTAGTTTAAACTAAAAGTCTCATTCCTGCTTGGTTTCACTCCAATGGGAAGTACCTTTGCCCTACCAGAAATCAATGGGGCTAAAGTAAAGAGCTGAGATTTAGATTAGGAATGTGGGTTAGAAAAAACAAAGGCAAGCTGTAACACAAAAACCATAAGCCCAAAGATCTAGATCTAATAAAGGACTTACAAACAAAGGAAGCACCTCTGTTACCACCATTGTTCTCTGAATCTCTATTTGTAATTAGCCTTACCTGTTATATGAGTTTAGGTTGTATTCTCAGCAGTACACACTACAGTAAGGTAGAGATGGAACATAAGTACTGACTGTGTATATGAGGAAGACCAGTGGGCAGGGTAAAAGTACTGCTTCCAAAAGTCAAACAAACAGGCAAATACCATAACCAAAAGCATACTGAGAACCTTGAGGAATGATAAAAAACACAAAAGGGGGACAGGAAGAGTGGCAGGCCTGCTTCTCTGTTGCCCCTTGAGTGAGATGACACACTCTGTCTCAGAGATGAAAGGTTTATTTCAATGTAAGACAAGACAAAGGGAATGTGACTGAACTAAAGAAAGTGAGCTTGCTTGCACTTAAATATTAGTAAAGATTTACCAACTAGAATAACAATAAGAAAGGGAGTAGATTATCTACAGACTTTTAAAAATGGACCAAAAGCATACAGTTTAAAAAGTTAAAATGATGACCACAACTCCCAAATTTCAGAAAGTGAAAAATAAGAAGAATCTTTTTTTTTTTTTTGCTACATGCCTTTACTCTTTTTTCAAAATCTGTGGTTCTCAATGGTGGGGGAGATGTTGCCTCCCATGGGACATTTGGCAATGTCGAAAGACACTTTCAGTTGTCACAAATGCACAGATGCTATTGGTGTCTAGTGTATAGAGGCCAGAGATGCTACTAAGCATCCAACAGTGCACAAGGCAGACCCCCACAACAAAGAATTCTCCAGTCCAAAATGCCGACAGCACCAAATTTGAGAAATACTGCTCTAAATGCTCACCCCCACCACACACACACACATACACACACACACACACACACACACACACACACACACACACACACACGAAACGTAACTAAATTCTAGTCATATCACAAACCCAGCTCTAATAAAAAAACTACAACTTAATATCACTATCACTGGTAGGTAACTTACCTGTAACATGCACTGAGATACCACACCCTCTGGAATTTCAGGGAAACGTTGTCGTAGATCATGGAGAACCTGAATATCTAGCTGTGGACTGCTTTGCGCCATGCCAAAGCAAATAGTGGTCAAGTTTCTCTTAGGAAATAGATGTTAACCAGCCTTCCAAAAGTAATGCTCTTCTAACACCACAGTCATTTTCTATTAAAATAAATTAAAGTATGGTTAAGTCTAATTACATACTTTATTACTATTGATCCTGTTCATGTCACCAATGGGGGCATCTCCTCTAATGAGGCTCCCACTGACATACTCCCTCCCTTAGTCCTGTTGCCATGCTTCCTCTCCACCTCCATTAGCAAGAGGACTGACCCATCACTATGCTGCCACAGCAGGTTGTGCTTACCCTGACAGGAACACTGAATACACTAGACTGCAACTGTCTGTGTAACTAAAGGTCTCTCCTCTAAAAAAGACTTTTACGAATATGTCCTTATTATAGAAAGCATGGAAGTACTCAAAAAGCGATGGGAGCATGTTTTAAGAACCTGGGAGTCAACTTGAAGAGGCTCCCAATGGCCAAATTTGCAACAAGTTGAACATCAAAATAATAAAAGGCAGTAATGAATTATAAGCCTGTAGAAAACAGAAAGTGATGAGTCCATACAAATGATAAATAGCTAAATACATATAAACAAAAATAGGGAAGAAGGGAGAGTCCTTGCTTACAGTAGAATCCAACTGGTAAACATTCAGGGAATGCTGGATCTGGAAAAAAATCATCATTTTTTAGCCATCACAGTACAGACTGCTTCAAGCAGGTATCATCAATAGATGCAAAATCTAGGGGGATAATGTGAATGAAGGGTAGGACATATGCCTAGTCTTACAAGTGTTTCTCCAAAGCTCACTGTAAGGAGGAAAAATTTAACTATATAGTAGATAAACTGAAAAACATCTTGATAGGGTGATCAAAATGAACATCACCAATGAGGGCCAGATGGACTATATATGCCTCCAGATGTGATACTCTGAGAAGGACACATCATTTTATAGTATTTGAGTCAGGATGCATTTCCTATCCAGAAACTAAATTCTGAGGAAATAGACAAACTCCAAATAAGCAATGTTCTATTTTCAAAAGGATAGGGAGATGTCATCTTTAAAAATATCAATGTCATTAAAGACAAAGGTTAGAAAAATGTCCCACATTAAAAGGAGATAGAGCCATGACAACTAAATCTTATAACTGATCCTGAACTGGAGCCTATACTAAAGGGAAAAACACATTATAAAAGAAATTAATGAATCAAGTGACCCAAAGTGAAATGTGAATGGTAGATTAGAAGTATTCTATCGATATTAAATGTATAGATTTAGTAAGTTTTCTGAATTGATAACCATGCTGTGGTTACATGCAAGAATATTCCCATTTTTAAGAATAAGACAATGAAGCATTCAAGGAGAAAGGGCATGCAACTTACTCTCAAACAGGTAAAATATATATATATAAATATATACATATGTACATGTGTACACACAAACATGCATGCGCATGCACACATACATGTGCACATAAAGAGGGAATAAACTATAAAGCAAACAAGGAAAAATGTTAACTATAGGTAAATCTGGATAAAGGGTATAGTGTTCTTTGTCCTATTTTTATTTTTGCAATTCCTGTAAGCTTAAAATTATTTCCAAATAAAAAGTAAAAACAAAACAAAATATGTCATTCACTTTTGGGGATTTGATTATGAATTCGCTGCCTACAACTATGTGCAGAAATGTGTCTCCTATGTTTTCTTCTAAGATTCTTGTAGTTTGAGATTTTATGTTTAGGTCTTTAATTCATTTAGATTTGATTTTTGTAGATGGAGATAGGTAGGGGTTCTGTTTCATTGTTCTGCATTGGTCAGTCAGTTTTCCCAGCACCATTTGCTGAATAAAGTCTCTTCTTCCCAGTGGTTGTTATTGTTGGCTTTGTTAAGATGAATTGGTTGAGAGATAGGGTTTTTGCTTCCAGAATCTCCATCTTGTTCCATTGGTCTATATGTCTGTTCTTGTACCAGTACCAGCCTGTTTTGATTATTAAATCATTCTACAAAAAAGATACCTGCACACACATGCTTATTGCCACACTATTCACAATAGCAAAAAACATCAAACCAACCTTGCTGCTCCTCAAAAGTGAACTGGATAAAGAAAAGATGGTACACATAACATGAAGGAGTATTATGCAGCCATAAAGAAGGACAAAATTATGGACTTCACAGCAAACTGGATGGATCTGGAGTCCATCATACTTAGTGATCTATCACAGAAACAAAGAACTTAATTCCACATGTTCTCACTCATAAGTGGGTCCTAACATTTATCACAATTCTACAAGGGAGGGATCGGCAGTTGCAGGACACTGCCAGGGAAGGGAGGGAGGGAGGAGGGCACCTGACATCACAAAGGGTACCTGATCCTAAACCAGGGGAAGTGAGGACCAGTTGGAGGCCCAAACTTCACCTGCACATAGACTACTTATGTATATAACCTTGGCTAGTACCCTACATCTTTATAAAAAAATAAAATTAAAAAAATCAAAACAACAACAAAAAACAGAGCGTTTCATTGATAACTTGGGCAACGCTTCACACATCTCAATAATAAAATAAAGAGAAAAAAATAAAAATAAAAACTAAATAAAAACTAAAACAACTAACCAAACAAAAGCCTACATCTCTATTCAAGATCTATGCTTCATTCACCAGTGCATTTCTAAAGCCCAATACAATGTCTGCTCAAGTATCTGTTAAATTATAAATCAATTTTCCTATACTAAACCAATCCACCTCATAAGACAGATTTGGGTAAAACACTATTCATATTCAAAGAAAAATATATAGATAAACCTTCTGGATGAATCTTGTTCCCTCACCTCCTGCCCTTCCCTCCCCCTACAAATATTGGTGGAGCAGAGATCGTCTATATAGGGCAATTTGTGAGTGCTTAGGAAAAAACAGATTTAGACTATTAAGTAAACTGGTACATTTTTTCATCGTGTCTCTTTCAAAATTCCCAAAGTTAAAATTAATAGATTCTACCAGATTAACAACCTAGGCTTTAATTTAAAATGTAAATTATTTTAAAACCCTTAGTATTAATTTGACTTTTTTTTTCTGAAACAGGGTTTGAATTATCCATCTTTTAAAATCAAAACAAATATTCCCTGCCATTTTCACAGTAAAGCAATCAATAATTTGCCCTGGCCAAAGGAGCCCTAGCTTGATGAGCAAACTTATCAAGTCACTGAAGCTCTAAGGCAGCACTGTCCAATAAAAATATAATGTAAGTCATATGCATAATTTTAAATGTTCTAATGGCCACATTAAAAAAGTAAAAAGAGGCCGGGCGGGTGGCTCATGCCTATAATCCCAGCAATTTTGAAGGCCGAGATGAGAGGATTGCCTGAGCCCATGGGTCCGAGACCAGGCTGGGCAACTTGGCGAGACCTCATCTCTACAATAAATCAAAAAATTACCTGGGCATGGTGGCACACGCCTATAGTTCCAGCTTCTGCTGAGGCAGAAAGATCACCAGAGCCCAGCAGGTCGAGGCTGTGGTAGCCATGAGCGTGCCACTGCACTACAGCCTGGGCAACAGAGTGAGACTCCAACTCGAGAAAAAAAAAAAAGAGAAAAAAGAAACAGGTGAAATTAATTTTAACATTTTATTTAACCCATTGTACCAAAAAATTGTTTTAACATGCATGTAAGTAATATAAAATCATTGATAATATTTTTAAATGTATTTCTTCAATTGAAACCCAGCGTGTATTTTATACCTACAGCACATCTCAGTTCACATTGGCCCCATTTCCAGTACTCAACAGTCAACTGTAGTTACTGGCTACTTTATTGGACAGTGCAGCTCTAAGGCTTTAGGATCTTCATTTAAATAACAGGATAAGATCTACAACTCTTAGCTTCCTTAATTATCTCCTTTGTGGGTATACAATTGACTAGGCACAGGATGGGCTAGGTGTTCAACAGATATTCATTAGAAGCGGGGGAGGAATTCATTGAATTTAATGGTAGGAATGATCTTAACTAATCAAATCTGTTTGTATTTACCAAAATGATAACAACCTTCCTAACAGGAAACGATCCTCAGTGTATCTGAGGTAGTAACTACGTTCGGAATACTTCATGGCTACTTATTAGTCACGTTTTCAAAAAAAAGCTTCTGAAGCACGCAAAGGCTTCACTCCAGCTTTCCCAATGGCTCCAAAAAATGATTTTATTCATTTCCCAAGCCTAATTATAAGCAAGTTTTAAAAATGTAGGGGCAATACAGTTGTTCTGATAGTAGAAAAGGCTACAAGGGTAAACAAGAACAGACAAGTTTTAGGCGTCAAAGAGCATGAGCTCCATATACTTCAGAGCTCTTAGGAGCCACCAGCTCTCACCTTGGTTAGCCTTCAGAGACCTCATGTGCTACCGAGTCCAAAGTTACCATTAATTTTACCAACTATGTTCTCAGAGGTAGTTATGATTATCTCTATTTTACAAATAAGAAAACAAACTCAAAGAATGAGCATATGGCAGAATCGTGACTCAAATTCTCCAAAGTCTATGTTCTTTCTACGACGCCACCAGGAGGTATCAAATACATTTCCAGGAGGCATTCCCAATAATAAGTGTCTTTCTTTTGCTAAGCAAAAAAGACAGCAAACCCTCATCAAGTTTATCATCCAAATAAGGATCTAAAGGTGTATGAGAAGGTAGATAACTGGGAGGGGAGGAAAGAATTCTTGTACAAATAAGTTTGCTGTTTTAGGACACAGAAGAAGCGGAGCTGAAGAAAATAAACTGCCTTTTAAAATGGTTACAAAAATACTTGTCTTTGAAGAAACATATCTTTCAAATGGAAGCCAACAACGTATACACCCACAAAAATGGCTACCATCTGAACAGTAGACTAACTTTTCACAACACATAGGAATCTAAACTGATACAAACATAACCTCTTTGAAGAATTATGTATGTAATCTTTTTTTTTTTTTTTTTTATTAATTGGAGTCTCACTCTGTTGCCCAGGCTAGACTGCAGTGGCATGATCACAGCTCACTGCAGTCTCGACTTTCTGGGCTTATGCGATCCTCTCAGTCTCCCGGGTGGCCTGGGACTACAGGCACATACCACCACTCCTAGCTAACTTTTCTATTTTTGTAGAGACAGAGTCTTGCTTTGTTGTCCAGGTTGGCCTCAAATTCCTGGATTCAAACAATCCTTCTGCCTCAGCCTCCTGATGTGCTGGGATTACAGGCGTAAGCCATTGTGCCTGGTCTAGGTATACAATCTTTTTTTTTTTGAGCTGGAGTCTAACTCTGTCGCCCAGACTGGAGTGCAGTGGCCGCTCCTGGCCACCACAGCCTCGATCTACTGGGCTCCGGCGGTCCTTCCACCTCAGCCTTCCAAGTAGCTGGAACTACAGGCGTATGCTACCACGCCCAGTTAATTTTTTGATTTATTATAGAGATGAGGTCTCGCCTGCCCAGGCGGGTCTCGAACCCGCAGGCTCAGGCAATCCACTCACCTCAGCCTCCCAAAGGCACGGGATTACAGGCTGAGTCACCGAGTCCGGCTGGTATGCAATCCTAATAGTGGTTAGCACTCTGACCTATACAACATTCATTCATATAAGCACTAATTGACATGGATAGTCATCTAGTAGTTCACAAAAATATATAACAGTTCACAAAACATAATTTCCATATCACTTTATAATGTAAAAAATTTCTCTGAAAAAGTAATTTCCCTTTTGCTCAGTGCAAGGTTAAGCAAACAGAAAATATTCCAGACAATAAGTAAAAAACAGCTGAAGTTTCAAGTAAAGTTCTACACTGTATTTTTATATTTAATTCCATAAAAACTAAAATGAAACATTGTCATATTATAAATGCAGCTACAATACAGATCAAAACATACAATCTATTCTTGTCTAAATATATCGACCTATGCAACAACTACATAAAATATACATTGACTTTGCTTCTTTTTTTTTTGAGTTGTAGTTTCACACTCTGTCGTCCAGACTGGAGTGCAGTGGCTGCTCCCGGCCACAGCAGCCTCGACCTGCTGGGTTCCGGCGATCCTTCCTCCTCAGCCTTCCGAGTAGCGGGAATTACAGGCATGTGCTATCAAGCCCGGCTGATTTTTTGATTTATTGTAGAGATGAGGTCTCGCTGCCCAGGCGGGTCTCGAACCCGCGGGTTCAGACAATCCACTCACCTCAGCCTCCCAAAGGCGCGGGATTACAGGCTGAGCCACCAAGCCGAGTGTGACTTTGCTTCTTAACATTATAATGGGTGGCTACTTTTGATACATCATTAAAGAATGATGATTTGGCACTTTAGAACCAAACAGAGTACGCAAGTAGTATCTAAGTTGTACAGGCTAGGCTCAGATGTGACCAGACTCCTGGGACACTCTTGAAACACCACTATTAAAACCCAGATGGTCACAGTTGTGAATTGTAGAGCTGTGTAAGTGGTGACTCTAGATCAAGACAGAAGAAATATTTCAAGTATAAACCTTATGATCATCACATAGTTCAGGGCCACATGAACCAGGAGATTCTGACAGGGTTGACCCTTTATTGCCTGTCAGTTTTGTAGGGATTCTTTTTTTGAAGGCAAGACAGAGATTAACGGTTCCAAATGCTATGTTTAGCAGTAGAATCACTGAGGCTTCCTTCAGTGGTGCAGCTATCTCCCTAGTGCAGGAGTGCTGGCACCACAAGGCACCGTGGGTTCCCTTTCTGAAAAAGCAGCTGCTAAGATTTCTCCCTACAAAATTCCTCCTTCCAACCAGAGAGGAAGCCTCCCCAGAGCTCTGCTCTGATGCCAAAGTTCATACTCCAGAAAATGATGTTAATACCTATTGCTTTGTTTCCAGTCTTTACGGAGCTCAGCAAGTATACAGAGTGGTGCCATCATGACCCAGAGCATTTTACCTTTGCCAGAATTTTAGCTCACTTCCTAAAGTAATTATATTCCAAGGTTGCAAACCAATGGTCTGTGGGCCAAATCCATCCCACAGATCTACCTGGTTTGGCCTCAATGTTGCTTTTTGTTTTGTTTTGTTTTTAAGTTGAGCTGCCTTTACTATAGGAAGCCTTCACATTAAAAAATTAAATATTGGAAGGCAGAGGTGGAAGGATTGCCAGAGCCTAGCAGGTCAACGCTGGGGTGGCCATGAGTGTGCCACTATACTCCAGCCTGGACAATGGAGTAAGACTTCAACCCCCTCCTCCCAAAATTAGATATCTAGCTTTCTTCTGAAAAATCAGATGACCTAGCAACTGCAGACAACAACTGGCTAAAGCTGAGGTACCACTCCACTTTTAGGAAGGACAGTCTGCCTAGTTCCTACAATTAGTAGGGGATGTCCCAGACACAGAGGCCTGGCCTTGCTCAACTCATTTAGCTACCTGCTAAAAAAAAATAATAACAACAAATAAATAAAATAGATACCTGCTAAATCTGTAACCTCAAATGTGTGCCACACAGAGAGTTAGATACTACAGTAAGTATAACTCTAGTGTTTCTCAGTGGCATACTATTGATTTAATAATGTGGGACACATTAATCCCTCATGCAAGACTGTCCCAGAAAATGAAAGTTATTTAGCATCCTGGGCCCTCCCACAAAATGCCAGTAGCACACCCAAGTGGCCCTTGCAGAGGCAATACTATCTTGGCTGACAACCACTGCTAGCATGTTAAGACTGGTGAGGTGAGCATAACCCAGGTTTGAAGAAAAGTTAGCCTTGTCTTGAGAAGATGTTTAAGATTAAAAATAAAAGAATTGGGTTGGGCTTGGAGGCTCACGCCTATAATCCCAGCACTTTGGGAGGCTGAGATGGGAGGATTACTTGAGCCCAGGAGTTCAAGACCAGCCTGGGCAATAAAGCAAGACCTTGTCTCTACAAAAAACAGAAAAATCAGCTAGGCATGGTGGTGTGCACCTGTATTCCCAGTTATTTGGGAGGCTGAGGAAGACTGCCTGAGTCCTGCAGGATTGCCTGAGTCCTAGCATGCCATGATCATGCTACTGTACTCCAGCCTAGCCAACAGAATTAGTCAAAATAATAAATAAAATAAAGAATCATTCATTTTTTTCTGTTCTGACCAGCAATAATTTTTAACAAAAACAAGTATGTATCCTAGTATAAAGCTTTGAAACTTCATCCATTTTCTTGCTGCTTTGGAGGTTTTGGTTTTAGATCATATTTATTGAGCCATATTTATATACCAGGTACTGTGCTAAATATTTTTCCTCATTGAATCCCCAAAATAATCCCACAGAAGAGGTAATATTATAGTTCACATTTTACAAATGAAGAAACTTGAGGTTCAAAGAGAATAAATAATTTGCTAGCAGTTCACACAGTTAACAAGCAGCAAAGCTAGGATACAAACTTGAAGTCTACGCTCTTAACCATTAATCTCCTGTACTGCTGGCTACCAGTTAAGACTCTGACGATGTCGTGACTCTTAATAATAGTTTAAAGCAAACCTTGCTTTTAAAACAGAAGAGTTTTTGTGCGTGTGAATTCTTCAAGTTAAACAGCAGTAGTGTGTTTAACTTGAAGTAGCTGATATTGGAGCATAACAAATGATCTTTTACTGACAGTTAAGAGTTATATTTTCAGGACTTTTCATGCATATATGTCAAGGTGTTACCAAATAACAAGGGAGAGACAGGAATATGATAGTTATTACTTCCCCTCAATAAGCCTTCCAAATAATTTATGAACAATCATCCTATAGTATTTTTATTACAGTGGAAACCACTTTGAAATAGTTACATGTTTGCTACATCTATCTCATATTGTTGTATTTTTGAGATAAACTATGAGACCAAAAGAATCATCAAAAACATTTTCAAGTTAAATATAGCCCCTAGAAAAAGACACATATTCAGATTTAATTTAAACTTACCCCCCCAAAAAAATATCTGTTAGCACCCTCTCTATAAACACAGAATTTCAGCTGAGAGGACACAGAGGCAACAATATCCTAGTAGCAGTGACCACACCTAGCACCTAGATCTTGATTTCTAACAGCATTCTCTCTTTAAGAAAGGGAAACAGGCCCTGTGGAGAAATGGCTGATTCTAGAACTGAGGCAGGAAATAAATATACAGGATGAATCTGGAATATTTTGTAGTGTCAGAAAGTAATGAAGTACTCAAACAAAAAATCCTGTGATGGGCACATGTCAAAATGACACAGGAGCCAACTGAAAGAGTTATCAATGGCCAAAGCTGGAAAAATCTGAGGCCAAAATATTAAGTAGTACCGGATTAGGATACAAAGTATATAATAAATATCCATGAGCTCATACTAATACAAATAAATGATTATAGTATCACGGTAGTTGTTCAAGGTCCACTGATGAGTGAGAACATATGATACTCAGATTTTTGTTTCTGTGAAAGATGACAGTAGCGGGAAACTGCGGGGGGTGGGCAGGGAGGTGAGATTGACAGTAGTTGAGATCTGCCTGGGGTGGGGGTACACCTCATCAACAAGGGTACCTGCACAATGAATATTTGTATACCTAACCCTGAATTGTACCCCACAATTTAAAAGAAAGAAAAAAAAATTTAAAAAATGATTAAATGAATGAATGAATGAGAAGGAAGGCAAATCTCCCATGTAGAAGAATCCCAAATAATTTATGTAGATAATTCACCCTCAAGGAGATGGACCATAACCTCTCATTTCTTAAGGGTGAATGGCACATAGTGGTTCCTTTCCAAAGAGCACAATAAAGAAAGAGGTGTAAATAAGATTACAGTGGAGAAACCTGACAAATACCTCAGCCAGGTGATCAACGTCAGCATCAACAGTGATAAGTCATGTTGATAGTTATGTGCTTTTGATATGATGTGATGAGAATATAAGAACACTCTGTGTTTTGCCTTCCCAAAATTCATAACCCCAGTTTAACTACGACAAAAAAGTCTGACCAATCCCAAATGAGAAACAGTCTACAAAATACCTGATCAGTACTCAAAACTGTCAAAGTCATCAAAAACAAGGAAAGTCTGAGAAACTGCTGCAGCCAAGAGGAGTCTAAGGAGACATAACCAAACGTGATGTAGTTTCCGGGATGGAATCCTAAAACAGAAAAAAATACATTCCATAAAAACTAAGGAAATCTGAACAAAGTATGGACTTCAGTTAATAACAATATTCCAATATTGGTTCATTAATTGCAACAAAAGTACCATGCTAATATAAGATGCTACTAATAGGGGAAACTGAGTGGAGGGTATAGGAGGACTCTCTGTACTAATGTCTCAATTTTTCTATAAAACTAAAACTGTTCTACAAAAAAAAAGTCTACTTAAAATTAGAAAAAAAATACCTCAAGATGGTTTATCAATTCTGCACAAGAGTTTTATTCACATCTCCAGCTCTGACCATGCCTCCTTTTCAGTAGTCTTAGAAACCTGAGAAAATGAAAAGATGGTTATCTTTTTACTAACTTCCCAACTCAATATGGAAAATGACAAAAACTTCGTAGACTTCTGGTACCTTAAAGTAATAGTAGACAGGATGCTAAACCACACTTTTAGGGTAGGTGGCTCTTTCCCAAGTATCTTCACAAGCTGAATCTCATTTTAGGTCAAAAACATCTTCTATAGTAGTTAAGTTCCACATTATTCCCAGAAGAGCAGCAGTTCAAAAAAACAAAAAGATAGTCCAATGGCTATTTTCTTAAGGCTTGTGTAGCACATGTGGTTGTAACTTACCATCTTGAGCACCCCTCACTCTGTTGCCCAGGCTGCAGTGCAGTGGCATGCTCACAGCAAACTGCAGCCTCAAACTTCCTGGGCTCAGGTGACCCTTCTGCCTCAGCCTGAGTAGCTGGGACTACAGGCATGTGCCACCATGCCTGGTTAATTTTTTAAAAATTTTTTGTAGAAACAAAGTCTCCTATTTTGTCTAGGCTGGTCTCAAACTCCTGGGCTCAAGCAATCCTCTTGTGCTAGGATTATAGGTATGAGTTACCGTACCTGGCTTTTTTTTTTCCTGTTGCCCAGGATGGGGTACAATGGTATGATCACGGTTCATTGCAGCCTCCAACTCCTGGGTTCAAGTGATCCTCCTGCCTCAAGCCTCCTGAGTAGCTGGGACTACAGGTGACTGCCACCACACTAGGTCAATTTTTTAGCTTTTTTTTTTTTTCTTAAAGGAAAGTTCTTACTATGTTGCCCAAGCTGGTCTTGAAGACCTGGGCTCATGTAATCCTTCTGTCATGGCCTCCCAGAGTGCTAGGATTATAGGCGTGAATTACCGCACTGAGCCTTGCCCCTATTATATTTAGAAAAAAAAAAAAGGGAGTAAGCCTAGGTTTATGAAGCATACATATTATTTTTAATTACATAGCTGAAATAGTAAATAACTTTATTTTTAAAAAATGCTAACTATTATAAAACCCATTTCTGTTCTGTGAAAAGCAATTTATATATAGAACGTAGCCTTATTCACTTATTTTGACAAATGAGCACTCTCTCTCCCCCCATCACTTAGAGATTATCTGCATTCTCAGTAAGCCTAGTAATGCAATGCTAACAATATCATTTTAGGGCAAATGCTGGCTTGTATCAGAGCTACCATACATGCAAGTTTCTAATTAATCTCCCAAGAAAAGTTCATTTTACAACCACAGTAGAGCTAAAATAACACACCCTGATTATATATCTTTAGCACTTCACCATACTTTTCCTTATTTTTTAATTTATCAGTTACTTTATCTCAATTACCCCCCAAAAATGAACTTCAAGTATGAGCAAGATGTTTGGTGCACCTACACGAATGCTGTTTTTACCATGTATAATAGCTTTTTCTACTCTCTGATATAACAATGTAAAATCCACTCCACATTCATGTTAACCTTCTACCATGAACTGCAATCAGCAAAGCTTTCTCACCTCCCTGAAAGTCTGTAAAAGTTACTGTGTTAATTACCACTTTCAGCACTTGAAATAAAATGTTTGTTAACTTTTTATTCTCCTCTAAGTTTATCACTATAAATTTTGAAAACAAAAACCAAACATGCACTTTCATCTGCAGTGCCTTGTACATACTAAATACTCAATGTAAATGACAAAATATAAAACTTTAAAACAACTGGAAATCTAGCTTGTTCCTGTTAATGTGTTTGAAGGTCTTGGTTGGGTCAATTCCTAAATTACATTATTTAAAAAGAAAGACAGGACAGTCTAACAGTAACAAAAGCCAAAGGTATATCAAGTCCATATTTTATTACTTAAAGAGATTATTCAAGACAGTGTTTTTCTAATGGTGAGTTGTTATCCATCAATGAATTATATAATATATTTACTGGGTGATAAGCACTATTTGAGGGGAAAAAAAGGAAAAAAAAAACAGAGCAGAAAATAACAAAGTGCTTCACATATAATAATGGTAAATAATAATTCAAAAAAATTTGTTTCAGATGTATATGTATGTACTAGATCATAATTAAAATGTATTTCTTACTGTGGGTTTTTTGAGAAATACTGACTTAGAATATGGTGAGGTATTTTAGGTTATGTAAGAAAAATATTTATTACCTTTCCTTTTTATTTTTTCTGAATAGATGGAAGCCTTTTAACTGATGAATAAACAAAATGGAGTTATTTGAGAAACTTTTGAATATGAAAGTTGAAATAGCTCATTCAAGTCATGAATTTTTGTGTGGTTTTACTTCTTTCAGCACAGTCTAGATATGTTTATGTAGCTCCCTCACACACATAGAGGCTCCTGCCTTCTAATATATGTAAAATATATTTCAGGAATCCAGAAATTCAAGTTCACAACTGTAGGGCAACCCCTTCAGGTCCCCTCCCACTGTGGGAGCTTTTCTGTCCTCTCAATAAATCCTGCTTTCTCACTTTCTGGCATTCCATGTCAAAACAAAACAAAATCAAACAAACAAACAAACAAAAAAACTGTGGGAATTTCCTGGTGAAAGAGTTTGAAAGAATAACAAAAAATGCCATTTATAATCATATATTTAACAATTTCTAACTTGACAATACTCCCAAATCCATTGTTTGTTCATTTAATAATTTGAGCTTGGTGATACAGGAGGTCCACACCCTCAAAAAGAAAGACATCGGTAGTTATAATACAGTGGGGTTAACGTCTATAATAAGGAGTAGTCAGAAAAAGAAACAATTAAGGTGGGACAAAGAAAATGAGGGCTGAGAAAAGCTTTATGGAAGAGATGACATTTAAGCTCGATTGCAAAGAGCAGGCTTGTTGTTTAAAATAAAAACAATACAATCACAAAGCTAGAAGAAACTCCATATCATCTAGCCCAGTAGTTTTCAACCAGGGGCAATATTGTCCTGCAAGGAACAGTTGGCGATGTCTGAAGACATTTTTGGGTGTCATACTGGGGAAAGGTGCTCTTGGCATCTGGTGGACAGAGGTCTGAGATACACCTAAATATCCTGACAACAAAGAATTATCCAGCCTAAGATGCCAATAGTGCTGAAGCTGAGAAACCCTGAACTCAACTCCAATACAAACCCGTGCTTTACACAAGAACATAACTGAAGGCTAGAGGAGTTTAAAAACTTGCCAAAATGACAAGATTATTAAACAGGTCTCACAACATCTTATCCAAGTGTTTAATTCACAACACACACCCACATACATTATTACATTAGGAAACATATGTTTTTAAAAAAGTGGCAACATTTACATAAGGTAGAAAGATAAACTATCTAAAAATCAAAGCTGACATCGTTACATAGTCTTTCTTGATACAGATCAATGGCTCAAAGCATTGACACAGATCTAATAGTGGCTCAAAGTAAGAATTATGGCTATAATACCATTAAAAAATAATACCCTTATTTGTTCATACTACCAGATTTGCCATCTGTTCAACTCAGTTAATGAACATGGATGTGAGGAAAAAAAAAAATCACAAAAACTAGGAAGGTGAAAGATTTGCACATCCACGTACATCTAGTTATTCCTTAGGGCAGGTCTTTTCATCTCCACCAGTTCCTAGCTGGGGATCTGGCACCTGGGAGGGATTTGTCCCCTTTTATTCAAAATCATCTGCTAAATTACCCTTCCATTCACTGGTGAGGTTAATTGTCCAAAGAACCTGTAACTCCCACTGCCAAACAGCTAGTAGTAGCTGCTTAGGGTCCTGAATTAGAACCTAAATCTAAACATAATACTAGATTTAAATTAAATTGCATAATATGAAATCCCTCAGACATCTTTTGTTTTTTCATCTTTGCTATTAGTGCACAAAGGGCATGCGATGATAAACAGGGGAGAAAGGTGTAAACATGTTAACAGTACATAGATTTGCTTTTAAAAAAGAAATATACTCCTTACCTCCAAATTTTCAGCTTGTGAAACTTGAACTAAGATAACTCGTCCAGTTGGACACACTACAACTCACGGTGAAAAACTTGAAGAAAAGGCTGAAGATACTGTCCTAAAAAAATGAAAGACCAAAGAGGTAATAAGATTCAAAATGTGAAAAGTTTAAGGAAGACAGTGTGAGCAAGTGATACAATGTACAAATAAAAGGTCATGAAAAAGCAAGTACTCATTTTGCTACCTAAAATTTCAGTGAATGAAGCTTATGTTTAATCAATACTAAGAGAAAGTTCTCCTGACTGCCTGAGTCACTCTGCTCCCAAGAAGTCACCTCTAGTGCGCAGAAGGGACAAACAAAGCTTTCCTGAGATTTTGGCATCAGAGAAAGCTAGCAAGAAGAGCTTTAGCTGAATCCCTGGCAAACCACCAGGAGTCCCTGCAGCTTCTCAAGATATACTAGTCATTAAAATTTAACGAAGTTGATTACAGAACTGTGCCGAGGCCTTTTTAGGGCCATAGGTCTTTAAAATTTAAAGGACACCATGGTGAGTCTGATTTAGTCTCTAGTAAAGTATAGGGACTTTTAAAATGCCCACACCCCAAGCAAGTACCACATATGACTGCAAACCTGCAGCAGCAGAGGGAGTATATAGTCTTTTCTTCTGTTTTTCCTGCGACCTACGTGTTCTCAATAGAATTAGTAGTCACTCAGGAACGGGAGACCCTTCCCATGACCCAACCTACAACATCACTAATCCACGGTTCAGGATGGAAGAAAATCACTTTATCATAAGCCTTAGTAAAAAAATAGAGTTTTAGTCAAGGAAGAAAGCAGTCTTCAGTTCCTCAACTGGGGATATTTTAACAACTTAAAAAATGACCACACACTTCAAGTTAACCAAATAGCTTTCTCTAGTGAATGAGGAAGAAGTTCTTCCATATAGAAAAATTTCAGCTAATAATGGCAGAAGTTACCAAATCTGAACAATCACAATTGTGCAACCTTTAATTACATAACTAATATATGCACTGGTAATCAATAGATGGTAAAAGCATAGGTGAAAAGTTGGGCTTCACAAAGGGATCAAGCTGCCACCACATAAACCCTCTGATGAATTGTTGCACCACTTAAAGTGAAATGACCAGACATTATGTACCTCTGGATTTGATATTTACAAAGTGACAACAAATACTTTTGCCCACCCCTCCAAAACAATATATTCTGAACTCAATTAAGCATACAGATCTAATTTCCAGCTCATATAAAAAACAAAGGATAAAAGCAGAAGTTAAACAATACCCTATCAGAATGAGATATTCTGAGCATGAAAAAAAGCAGAGGACTGATATAAATTACAAGAGAATTAAGAGACTTAAGGGGCATAACCAAATACAATGAGTACATCCTGTTTCAAACAATCCAACTATCGAAAAAAGTTTTTAAAAAATAAACAACTAGGGAAAGTTGAGTATGAACAAGTACAACTGGTCCTTGAACAGCATGGGTTTGAACTGCATGGGCCCACTTCTGTGTGAATTTTTTTCAATAAAAGTGACATCAGATGTGCCTGTCTCTCCTGCTTCCCCTTCCACCTCCTGCACCTCTTCTGCCTCTGCCACCTGAGACCTTTCTCCACCTCCTCATCCTACTCAATGTGAAGATGATGAGGATGAAGACCTTTGGGATGATCCACTTTCACCTAATGAATCATAAATATATTTTCTCTTCCTTATGATTATTTTAATAACATTTTCCTCTAGCTTACTTTGTTGTAAGAATACAAAGTGTACTACATATAACATACAAAATATATGTTAACTGACTGTTTATATTATCGATAAGGTTTCCAGTCAACAGTAGACTATTATTAGTTAAGTTTCGGGGAAGTCAAAAGTTGTAGAGGATTTTGGAGAGGGGGAGAGGTCAGCACCCCTAACTCTCACATTATTCAAGGGCCAGCTATATTATACATACTATTAAGAAGTTATTAGATGTGTTGTATATGATGACACTGAAGTTATGTAAGAAAATGTGTTGTTTTAGAGATGTGTTAACTATTTAGGGGTGAAATTACGTCTTGGATATACTTTAAATTCTTGGTGTAAAAAAGGGGTACAGAGAAGATGAAACAAGTACGCTAAAACGTTGATAATTACAGCATCAGAAATTCATTGAACTCTTCATTTGTGTACATTTGGAAATGTTCACGAATAAAGTTAAAAATAAAAATAACCAACTAGGAGTCACTATAGTCCTTTAGGAAGAAAAAAGTATTATATTCGAAAGATACGATTTTAATTATTTTGAGAAAATCACAGAAAAAAGCAGCTAGAAACATAAAACTACTAAGAAGGTTCTTAAGGCAGTCCAGGGTTAAAAATCCTTAAAAAGCCAAAACCATTATATTTAAATACTGGGGTTTCCAAAAAAAAAAAAAATACACATTTTAAGAGAAGTTATCTATGTATTACTTTTAGCTCACTGTAAACAGAAGTGATTGGATGCTAACGGTAACCATTTTGTGTACCTGTTGTAATTGCAGAGGTCAAACGTGACTTGTATTTATCTTTTGTATATGTTGAGTATTACAATTTTAATACAGTTTTTCCTTTCTTAAAATATGTATACATTTTTGGCACCCTCTGTATTTACTGAAAACTGCAATAAATGATAAAGTATAAAAGGGTGATGGCCACACCCTGTCCTGAAGCTTCCTCTGAAGCTGGTGAAAAATAATGCACCCCATGTCCTGATAAGAAGTTCAGAAAGGGAGGAATGGATTCAAGTAAAGCAAGTGTATTGAAGAAAAATAATCAATGCAGATACAGGATTAAAAGACAAAGAAAGGGGAAAGGGCAAATGTTCTGAATTAAGAAATTTCAAAGATTTTGGTACCAGTCACAGTTCTATGAACATTTTAAATTGTGACAGATTTGTGAGTGGGACAGGTAGAAAACCTAATGAATGAACTTTCAAGAAAAGAATGCTTGATAAGAGAGTTTTTAAAAAAAATTAGTCCTCAATAGAAAGGAGAGCAATACTAAATTTGAGTAGAAGGTATCCTCATATCCTAAAACATGTAGTAACTGGACACTATGTAACTGAATATGATACAAATAAACAAAGGTATTTGACATTCACAGGCCTAATGTAAGATAATTGTTCAAGGCTATCATTACAAGAAAGTAGCAAGGATGTTGCTGGATGTCAAAACAAGGATGTTGAAAACAAGATATGAGGAATATTCAGAAGCAGAGGCACCACCAGAAGCAGAGGATCACTGACTCTATTGCTGGGAAAAAGGTACAAGGCAAATAAGCTTTTTGCCTTCTCTAATATTCAGAAGGGATAAGAAAAAAGATTTTGGTTAGGATTTCATCAAGAATGACTGGAGAAGAAAGGAAGCCTTGAGTGACAAGAAAGACGGCAAGTGAATTGGAAAAGAGGCACCTTTTTTAGAATTGGTGATATTGAGGCATGTCTAAAAAGAAGGAAAGGGACTGTACATGCAGGGATGAGAAAGGACTAGTGACAGAACAAGTTAACAGGACAGAGAGGTTGGCAAATTCCAGAGCTGGAGGGCCCATGTTCTAGAAGTGGAGTGGGAGCCGGGCTCGGTGGCTCGGCCTGTAATCCCGTGCTTTGGAAAGCTGAGGTGAGTGGACTGCCTGAGCCTGCGGGTTCTAGACCCATCCGGGAAACTTGGCGAGACCTCATCTCTACAATAAATCAAAAGAATAGCCGGGCATGGTAGCGCATGCCTGTAGTTCCAGCTACTTGGAAGGCTGAGGTGGAAGGATCGCAGGAGCTCAGCAGGTCGAGGCTGTCTGCGGTGGCTGGGAGCGGCCACTGCACTCCAGTCTGAGCGACAGAGTGAGACTCCAACTCAAAAAAAAACAAAACAAAAAAAAACCAAAAA